ATAGACTTTGATTCACAGTAAGCAGGTAGGAATTCAGTCTTAGTAGAAGGCTGAAACTGCCACTTAAACTGTGACCTTGTAGGACTGTGTTATGGAAGGTCAGACTTTAAGGCCAGAGAAAAACAAGCTGATAGATCAGGATTTGATGTCTGTCAGTGCTGTGACCCTGAATCTTACAAAACACTTTTGTTTAATGGTTTACAGAATATTGTACTAACTGCTAGTGTTGTAGTACTCGAGACCGGTCTTAAGACCACTTTTTGATGGTCTTGGTCTTGTCTCGGTCCGGACATTAAGGATTTTATTTCAAGACCATAACTTTGGGAATATCAATAAATTGCTTTTACATTGTCCGATTTATTTGTTAACAGCCTATCTTTGATTGGAAGTAAAACTTATTGCTTCACATCCAACCAATAACCCTAATTAAAAATGTGGTGTTACCGTTAACGATTGTCACCCCTCCCTGCTATGCTTACATTGATTTCAGCTCTTAGTGTTTGTATGGGTGTTTTAATGGGAAAGTGGATCTTTCAGATCACATTGAGAAGTACCTATAATCTCGTTCCATATTTTATTGCGTGCCATGCAATGCAGGGAACTGGTCTTGGTCTTGACTCAGTCTCGCCTTCCCTCGGTCTTGGTCTCGACTGCTCTCAGCCCCTAAAAGTCTTTGTCTTGTCTCGGTCTTGATAAAGTCTTGACTTGGTCTCGTTTTGGGCGGTCTTGACTACAACACTACTGACTGCAACCTCTGTGTTTTCTTATCCAGCAACAAGGTGTGCATGTGAAAGAGGCATATTTCTTAATTACTGTACAAGTGACATAGTCAGAACCATGAATGAAGTACTTAATATGAAATGATACTGGCAACAACAGCAGAAAATTACAAACATAACTAAAACAGACGAAGCTGTAGAAATTCCAGAAAAAATTTTCAAGTATTAGTTATATAAAGTAAGGCTTAGGCTATACAGGAATTATGTCTTTACTACACAGTGAGTATTAACTAAGGAGAAGTAGTTAATCACTGTAATGTTGCGTTCATGGGACATTTTTTAACAGTGTTTCTAATAAAAGACAACATGGACATCATTTTTATTTCGTCTTATCATCACAAAGACTCCTCGTGTTATTCTGAGCTGCAGTGATGAAATAAGAGTATAAAAGCATCAACACTGTCAGGCCTTTATCAAGCCAGACAGACCTGTAGCGTTTATTTTCTTTCTTCTCTTATTTCAACACACTTAATTTGAACTTTTCCAATAAACAATTGTTATCTAAAATTATATGGATAGCCTTTCTATATGCCAGCTAAAATAAAGCGCATTCAAATTAGATGCTTTCTTTGTTTTACTCTACTGTGTTTTGTCCACCTCAACCTGCTATTGTTCCTTAATGACTGCCGGGCTCTACAGTGTGAGCATTTTGCTCCATATGTGAGTGAAGATTAGTGTGTGAATGTGAGAAATGATTTGGTCACACCAGTGATTGACAATACTGGTGTCTTCTTCTTCTGACAAAATACACAGATTCGCTAAACTAAGCTCTGACAGTAACAAATCTATTTCTTCTTCTTTTTTCTGTTTATGTACTTGTTTTAAGTACAGGCATTAGCCAAGTTAATTTGTTTTCTCAAGATCTGAAATTATTTATGTCAATATCTTGAAATAACAAATGTTGTTTTCACAGGATAATGACATAATCAGTTCAGCATCTGGAGAAATAAATAAATAAATATGGTAGGCCACAGATAAAGCTATAGCCTCGCTAACTGTTTAAAATCTGTGTCAGGCCTTGATTGAAGAGATATATGACGCGGTGATCAATATTCTTCTGCTCCTTTTTTTTTACCAAATGATGTTCATTTGTTGTAATCTTTTAGTTGATGACAGGGCAAAATAAAACTTGGCTAATGACGGGTTTGTGCATAAAAGAAACATCCATCTATAACACAACTGTACATCTACAAGTGGACAGAATGTTTTGTTGCACCAACAAGTCCAAAAGAGTGATCCCTCTTCTCTCTAGCTGATGGGAGTTGCATCTCCCAGTTGAACTTTCATTCAAATCAATAATTCAAGCTTCTCAACTTTTTGGTTTAGAATCAGGAACTTCAGTATTTTCCATCACCTTGTTGAAAGTATGTCATGAAGGATTAAGGCAGTTCTGAAAACAAAGGGAGGTTCAACTAGGTACTAAAAAAGGTTGCATATGTGTTACTAGAAGATGTCTTGTATTTTTGTTTGATACAGCATTGTTTTGATGGTTCCAAACTAACTATCTCATTTTCATTAACTACATCATCATGTCCAGAATGGCATTTCATGGCTTATGAATGTTTGAAAATGTGTCAGTAATATAAAAGTGAAGTAAGCATTAAGTAAAACACCAATTTGCCTTTTTGGAGAAGAAAATATAGTTAGTGCGAAAAAATTCAAAGACACCACTTGCATACAGAGAAAGGCAACAGCAGAAAATGTACTCTCTCCTGTACATTAATACACATACATGTGAATACCAGCAAGCAATTTTTTTTCAGATAAAAATCTCTACTCACCAAATGTTTAACTGCGTATAAATTGACAGAACCAGCATCTTGTGTAGCTTTATTAAAGAACATTTTATCCGGTGAGGTTTTGAATATTTTTCAATCACTCAAGAGGTCACAGAGTTTCCACAACTCACAGAAGAACATGTAATCCTTCAGTTTGAACAAGAAAATCCCCAAAACTGGGGTTAGAAGGTTTTCACGCCACAGCAGCGGATTGGCTGTTCTTCGTTATGTGATGTTGGATGTGGGAAACGCTTGACCGCACTGAGATTCATTTATATCAACTGGTTGGAGAGCTGTATCTGATTTTACCATTTAGCCATGACTGGGTAGATTTGGTCATGTTTCGGTCGAAGCCCATTACTCGGGAAGTAATGAATGAGCCAAGTCGATCATCACCACATAATATTTATTACAGGTCACATTGGAGGTATTTGCTGATATTCCAGTGTGAGATTTAATCAATAAAATGAATCTTGTTGACCAGTAGGACACACGTATCACTTCTAAAAATTCTGGATATGTAGAAAATAAAACAAAACAGTGCAAAGTAATCACTTTAGTTTGAATTTAAGCAGCTGTGTATCAACCACAGAGGACCAAATCTGGCTGATAGGTTTGGCTAGTTTTTTAGGTTCGTGGCTAAACACCATTGGGGATCAACTCTCTTGGACTAAGTCACCCAGGCCATAACTGCCACTGTGGATACTGAAGTCATATCTTAAGTATTTATTTATTTCTAACCAAGGGGTTTCTACAGTGAAGAACTTGCACAACAACATGATGACAAAGTGACCAACACACATAAGTTAATGAATGGAGGATCCTCCCAGCTTAGCATGTGTGAGATGAGTATTTGACGTCTTCACTGTCACTGTTGGGAAATGTGGCTGTAACAGTTATCCCACACTTATTGTTTTCTTTTTAAAAAGGAAACTTGAAACCCCCTCAGCGCTGTGATGACAGTAATCTACATAAGCTTTTCCTGTCTTTGACCAGTGAAGTGGATGGAATCTGGTTTTTCATGTCCTCGGGTTACTTAAGACTCCACAATTCTGCCAACTGACCTAAAATGTCTGGTTTTACATATTATATTGTCTTTTAAAAAATCCCTCTCATTAAGAGGAGATTTTGAGGAAAGCCATGCCTAATCTGACATAAAAGTGTTCTTGCTTCTGGAGGTTTTCCACATATTGGCTTAGCTTCCTGAGAAAATGTTTGTACATGCAGAGAAGCCTCTTTGCTAACCTAAATATCATGTCATAAGTGGGTATAAGTAATCTGGTTCATAAATATTCACGAGAACGTGCATCGCTCACATTTTTATCCCTCTCAAATGAAAGTGCTCATGACTGGAGAAAGGCTGCATCATGACTGAAACTTCTCGGGTTTTCTCCACAGAACAAACACTTCTGTGGCTTGAGACTTACATTTTTCAACATAAAGCACGTTTGGACCAAGGTCAAATTATACCTGTTAACCATGTGTTAGCATTGTCATTATGAGCATGATAGCATTCTGATGTTAGCATTACTTCAAAGCACCACTGTGTAATGAAAGAGCTGCTAGCATGGTAGACTCTGGCTGTCCCCCAACTTTATGGAAATGCAATGCTATATCCTGGAGTACCCCATAAAAATTAAATGATACATGAATAATGAAGTGCAAAATTCTTCATTTTGTCACGAAGCAATTAACAATCGTATTTAAAATGAGGCATTACATAACATGATCAAGTGCATTTATTTCTGGAGCAAGATGTTCTTTCGCTGGTCAATTCATGAACTATTAGGCTGGGAAATTAGCACCAGCCTGGTAAAATATTAAAGTGGCTAGTGAATTTTAAAATTTATCTGTCAGTGGCTGGTAGATCTTCACATTTTACTTAATTTCCCAAAGATTTAATAGTCTTTTTTAATTAAAAACAAGAACACTTTGTTCACATTTACTGTTTTCTGTCTTCTCTCAAGCATCCATCCTTCAGAGGTATTCAGCAAACTCAAAATACCACCCAAAGCCTGTCCTTGAGGGAACCACATGACCTCTCACTCATCCCCAAGAGAGAAAGCGCCATGTGCTGACTATCCTTTCCTAATAGACCCTTTGCAGTCTTATACAAGAGTTCCCACGTATTTTGGCCTCCCAGCGGATGTTAATATATCACCAGTTTGTCTGCAGCCTGACCTTTGACTCTGAGAAGTTTCTGTTGCGATACGAGCTAAACAGCGGCATCAAAGTGAGACACATTTCCAGAAGGTGGAGTGAGTCAAAACCTTTCTCTTCCACATTTTAGGGAACAAAATACTGATTAATCCCAGAACTTGCTTTAATCTGGAAATGTTTTCTGTTTTCACTTTGGCTGATTTAAACATCTGACATTTTTTGATTTTCAAACCTGCTGTCGTTTTCTCAAGCTGCCGAACTGATGTGGCATGCTCTTTTGCAGCAAACTGGTGTGACAGCCACATTGTTTTCACTGCATCCTGAGCACCCGAGCTTTGAATTTCCAAGCAGACCTCATCATAATGGAGAAGGAGCAAACGGCTGGGAGTTGTCCTGCCCCGCGCCAAACTGCTGTCAGAACCTGGCTCTCCTCCAGCACAAGAGGTACAAGTGTTTGGCTGTGGTTGAGTGTCAGAATTGGTTCTAAGACACAAATTAAGCTTAGATTTGACAGAAGCTGTAATCTATGACCTGAGGAAAACCTTTAAAAGCCTGCTGAATGCACAGTTTGTTTCTTCTTTCACTTTTTGGAAGGCAACTTCCATTCGTTAATTGTTACATCATAACATTACAACAAAGTTGTTTTTAAAATTCTTTTCATTCCAGTTTTATTCCTTACCTGTGTGGCCTTATTTTGGTTTACTTTAAAAACAGAAAAAATATGTAACTTTTCTATCTGCTATTTATAATCTACCCAGTTAAAACTTCAAAACATGAATATGAATAAATCTATTAAGGTTTTCAAGTAACTATAATATAATTATAGAAAGTGTTAACGTGACTGGCTCATTTATGTTCTGTAATAACCTAACCTTGCTGATTTTAAATGGGCATGATTTATACGATCAGTATGAAGAGTTCCCTCCAAAACAAAACCAAATTCAAAAGTTGTGGGGAAAGGAAATGCAGGATCCAGTGTTTTGGGAGACTAGAGACTAACAGTGTTCAGACAGTAATAAAAACCAAATCCCCACTCTGTAAATGACACTTTATGGCTATTAGATATATCATTTTGAGATTAGGCATCTGTGCACTGTGTAATTTAGTGTTTCTAAAGTACAGTGAGTTTGTTAATATCTAATGAGAAATGGGAGTGTTTTCATGTAAGACGTGTTTGTTTTGTTCTTCCTCCTTGTTCCTCCTTCATGCACAACTGGAGGGTGTCCAGCTGTTCCAGATGTTTGAGAAACACCATTGTTGTAAATTGTTGAGATACACATTACAGTGTCTTACTGGAAATCCTCTAACACACCTGCAGAAACTTTCATGTCAAATGGCTAAATGTCTGTTTATCTGGTGTGAATTACAGTTCATGACACTCCAAAACCAGCATCTTTTCAGGTTTTTACATCTGCAAACAGCTGCTTTGTCATCAAAGTTGTTTCCTCATGTCTCTGTAAGCCAGTGGTTCTCAAACTGGGGGGCGTAGAGCCATTTCAGGGGGGTTGTGGATGTTGAGTTGACGTAAAGTTGCATGATTCAATATGAGTCATGTGGTGACAAACAAAATAGCTCTGATGCTAGGCTGTTTAGCTCATCTTCTGTTTTTCTATCGCCTGTACTGTTAATGATTGATAAAAATGAAATCCGCTTTTGCAGGGGTGGGGGTCACGAACTTTTTGGGGCTTCTGAATGGTGGGGGGCGTGACAGAAAGAGTCTGAGAATCACTGCTGTAAGCCTTAAAAAAGTAAATCTTTCACAGTCTAGTTTACATACTTCTCAGACATGTTAACCATTAGCCGTCATGATGGTTTTGTGAGCGTACGATGACTTTTTTGTTGAGACTGTTTTTCAATTCATTGCTTATTAAAACAGCAGTACACCTGCAGAAGTCACACTTTGGATTGTAAAAGCTAATAAAGCAAGATTCTGTGTTCTCACCTTACTTTGCTTGGTTTTAGAGTAAGGTCATAGTTAAGTATATTAACTGTAGTGTACAACACCTTTGGGTGTGGGAGGTGGGTTTGACTCTGCTTTTTAATCTTAGATATTAAGTTCAGTGGGAGTGGGTTTTAAAGTTGGTGAGTCACTACCTCTGAGGCACAATCTGCTCGAGTTTTAAGTTCTGAAAGCAGGACCTCAGTGACCCACTGGTGCAATTCTTTGTAAATTATGTTTATACAACTAATATGTAACAGCTATATGTATATCTTCTCTACATCCACTCATAGCAATGAAGCAAGAGAAGTCTATGAAGGTTCTCAGTCATCCAGGTTATAGTTATCCAACGAAGGTTAAGGTCAAGGGCAACTGGACTTGGTTGAAGATACTAGAAGACGTTTCATCCCTCATCCAAGAGACTTCTTCAGTTCTGGAGAAAGAGAATACTTTTATGGTTATGTTTAGGAACTGGTTATGGTTTCCTGCGTCATGACTGCTTAACACTGAATTCATGGTATTTTCCCACTATTTCAGTGTGTGTTATATTTTTGGGACCGCTGTTGGTGAAGTTTGGTTTGATGTATTGATAACATTCTAGTGTATTTATAAAATTCAACATATCAGACACAGGGCAAGGTTATGTGTTTGCAAGGGCAAACACATAACTGTGGTCATACACTGGACTTGGTTTTTACCCTGGGTGTCAGCATTTCCTCTGTGGAATTGGTGGACATGACCATATCTGACCACAGTTGTATTGTACTCATGCCGCCTCACCAAGCTCCGTGTGTTCTCGCATCTTTAATGAACAAAGTGTTTCAAATTTTTGCCCATTCTTTCAGAGCCAGAGCCAACACCTGTCTGATTCCAACACCAACAATCTGGTCGATCACTTCAATCATATCTGCTTGTCGTCACTAAATATTACTGCTCCTCTAAAGGTTAGGCCTACGTCTAAAGCTAGTAAGCAACCCTGGATAAATGACAGCATTCGCCAAGTCCATTTCCTCAGTCTGAAGGATTTATTAATTAACTACAATAACATGGTTAAGGATGCGAGAACACACTATTTTTCTGAACTCATTACTACACATAAACACAATCCCAGGTTTCTGTTTAAGACTGTGGATCAGCTGGTAAACCCAACCCCTCCTTGTGCCTCAGCTGGAAGTTGTTTTTATCTTATTTTACCAATAAGGTGGTGTCAATCAGAGCCTCTATTACCCCCGTGGCCTCTTACTCAGAGGTTCCTCACCAGCAACAAGAGAGTTTTAACCAGTTTTATCCCATCGACTTGTCTGAGCTTTTAAAAACAGTATCACAAATGAGAGTGTCCTCCAGCCCACTTGATGTAATACCTACAAAATTTTTACTGAAAGTAATGGATTCTGTTGGGCCCCATTTGATCTGTTTTCAACAGCTCCCTATCTACTGGTTGTGTCCCTGATTATTTTAAAACGGCTTGCGTGAACCCACTTTTAAAGAAACCTGGTTTAGATCCCTCCCTCCCACATAATTTTAGACCAATTTCAAAACTGCCTTTTATTGCAATGATTCTAGAAAGAATTGTGTCCAAACAGCTGCTCACTGTACTGGAAAATAACAAATTATTTGAAAAGTTTCAGTCTGGTTTTAGGAAGTACCACAGCACTGAGACTGCCCTGCTTAAAGTCACCAATGACCTTTTAATGTCTGCTGATGAAGGCATGTGCTCAGTCTTTGTACTCCTGGACCTTAGTGCTGCTTTTGAAACCATTGATCACAACATCATGTTAGACAGACTGAGGCACTGGGTGGGGATCTCTGGTACTGCCCTAGAATGGTTTTCATCCTACCTGTCAAATAGGAAGTTTTGTGTGTCTGTAAATAACTATGTCTCCTCATTCTGTCCAGTTAAATATGGTGTGCCTCAGGGGTCGGTCTTAGGACCCATTTTGTTTTCCTTGTATCTGCTTCCCCTTGGACATATTATCCATAAACATGGCATTTCTTTTCATATTTATGCTGATGACACACAATATACTTGCCCGTCAGATCCACAGACCCTGGAATGCTGAGTTCACTTAACAACTGCCTTTGTGAAGTTAAAAAATGGATGTCAAATAATTTCCTCCAGCTGAACTCAGACAAAACAGAAATCCTGGTCATCGGGTCTCAGCAGATGGCAAAACAAATACTGCCATCTGCTGGTTCCCTAATAAATCACATTAAGCCTGTGGCAAAGAACCTTGGTGTTTGGTTTAATAGTAATTTAAATTTCGAGCAGCACACCACAAAGCTTGTTCAATCATGTTTTTATCAACTTAGAAATATAGCAAAAATTCGATCTATGTTAACTTTTAAGGACACCAAGACCATTTTACACGCCTTCGTCTCATCACACCTGGATTATTGCAACAGCCTTTTCACCTGTTTAACCCAAAAATCTATTGATCGACTCCAGACTGTCCAGAACTCAGCTGCCAGGCTTTTAACCAGAACAAAGAAATATGACCACATTACTCCTATTTTAGCTTCATTACACTGGCTCCCAGTATGTTTTAGAATTGACTTTAAAATTCTATTGATCACTTTTAAAGCTCTTCATGGCCTCTCGCCTTGTTATATTTCTGACCTTTTAGTCCCATACGCACCAGCATGTACCTTGAGATCCTCGGGCAGAGGTCTGTTGTCTGTTCCAGAGTCTCAACTGAAAACTAAAGGGACAGAGCGTTTGCTGTCAGGGCCCCGAGGCTCTGGAACAGCCTGCCCGAGGAAATCAGATCGGCTGAGTCAGTGAACTCTTTTAAGTCCCTTCTTAAAACATACTTTTATAGGAGAGCCTTTCCCGATCTTATTTGACTTTATTTTATCCCTTTTATTTTATTGTATTTTACTAATTTTATATTAATCTGTATTTTAGTCTTTTCAATGTTTTCATGCTCTTATCTTGTTTTTTTGTATTATTCTTTACACTTGTTAAAGCACTTTGTAACTTGTTTTTGAAAAGTGCTCTACAAATAAGGATTATATTATATTATATTAAATATCACTAAGTTAACGAGTAAAACACAAAACAATGCAGAGAGATAACCATTGTTTGAATTTTATCAAGTATCCCTTGGACATGTATTGTAGTTTATTTTGCCAACTCAGATCTCTCTTCGAATAATGCTGTACATTAAGAAAATACTGTACTGTACTAAATGCTGTACTTAAAAGATGAACATTATCAGAATATTTCTAACCCACCCATATCTGTAACTTCAACACTGGAGTAACAAATGGACATGAGATTTATTAATGCATGAGTGAAAATATAACACTGGGGATTTATTTGCAGATTTTCCCAGTTTACTGTCAGCAGCCTGTGTTTCAAAACGGGAACTATCTTTTGTCAATTTTTGTGGTGGTGTAGCTTGACAATCACCAGCTCAGGTTATTGAATGACTATTGGTTGTATTGGAATGTAAAATGCAGACATGTATTTGTGCTGAACAATAAACTAAACACTGCGATGGACTGGCGACCTGTCCAAGGTATACCACGCCTTTTGCCCAATGTAAGCTGGGATTGGCTCCAGACCCCTGTGATCCTGTACGCAGGATAAGCGGTTGAGGATGGATGGATGGATGGACGGAATAAACTAAACAGTGACTAAAAGCCAATAAACTGTTACACAACGCAAGTGAAGCTGTTTAAAAGCCGACCTTTGTTACAGCAACACATACTAACATTTCCATAATCACCAAATTACTGTTTTTATTCCAGTGAATGAGATGAAACATTGACCAAGAATTTGTCAAACAATCACTCAGCTGTTTGCTTACACACACATACAGGCACACGGAAAATACATTAGGAACATATAAACACCAACATGCTTGTACTGATTATCCATTTAGAAACACACACAAATATGTCCTCTTATTAACACACAAAAACAGATGCACTACATTCAGCAGTCCAAACATATTAAAAACACAAACACACATGCACTTTAATCAAATTATGACACACAAACATAATTAAGACACATCAAAGGAACACAAATATAAACACACGCGCTCATTTCCTCTCTCTCACACAGATTTGTCTGCATAGTTTGACCCTTTATATCTTCTCACCATGTTTCCCAGGAGTGCCCAGAACACACAGTGACACCACCTCCCGTTTTCAGGGAGATGGGGTTCGCTACAAGGCCAAGCTGATCGGCGTGGATATGGTACCTGATGCCCAGGGAGACAAGATGTGTTGGGAGTCCATGATGAAACTGAAGGTAGTCTGAACCTCCAAAGCCAAAATCAACTTACATCTGTCTTTTCTTAATTAAAGCCAGTTATCTGTTTGTGAGATGATCTTCTTGTCCTCTACAGCCGCAGTCAGGAAGAAAATAATAATAATAATAATAAAAGTAAACATGTAATATCATATGACAAGTCATATTAAAATGTGTGGTCGTCAGTGGTTGTTATGACTTGGAGTGATTCAGGAGTCATATTCAGAGGCCTTGTATTGAATGAGACCATATTAGAGATAGATGTTATCATCTATCAAAAAGAAATGAAAAATATCCATTACCAGTCCATTATTTTTAGTAGTCAAGAATAATAGTCTACAGTCATGCTAGCAGCTCTGTGAGGCTATACTTTGATGTAATTTCTAACATCAGCATGCTAACTTGCTCACACTGACATTACTAACATGCTGATGTTTAGCAAGGGTTATGTTTACCGTGTGTTAGCATGCTAACATTTGCTATTTAGCAATAAACACAAAGTACAGCTGAGGTAATGTCTTCTGAGAAATTGACCTGATGGTGATAGAAGAAAAAAAATCTGGGGATCACCGATGTTTTTACAATTCAGCTTGAGGGAAACATGAATGTCTGCACCAAATGTTATGGCTGTTGAGATGCTTCACTAAAAACTAATTTGTCACCTTTGGTGGTGAGGGATCATCAAATTCATTAGGGTTCATCCTCTGGGGACCACTCATGTCTGTAAAGCATTTAATCTTAATCCATCCAATAGTTGTTGAGATATTTCCTTTTCTTATTATCATTGTTATTTTGGCCTTCTACATTATTTGATAGTCACTGTAGAGACACAGGAAACATCAGGAGAGAGAGGGAAATAACATGCTGCAAAGGTCCTTTGGCCCGGGAGTCAGTGGTGGATGTTGCAGTTATGTGGCATGCACCTTAAACGGTGGACCTACCAACTAATTGACCAACTGACAGAGGCATCCCTAGAGCATGGCTACAAATGCTTTTTACTCACGGTTCCCAAGCTTGAGCAGTGTTACAAAGAAGAGTGGTGGACATCTGCAGCATCCAGATGTGCATACCTTCACAAACCAAAGGCTGTAATTCCTGCCAAAGCCATATCTACTGAATGCTAACTTGAAGAGGATAAAAGAAGTATCTTAGATTTGTAATTTAGTTAGATATATTTGTAGAGTGTCTATTTCTGTTGATCAGTGTAAAAAACGTTAAATCTTCTTTGATTCAGTGTTGTAAGACAATAAAACATGAAAACGTATGTATAAACTATGTAAAATGAACAGGGTTCCTTGGATGGTAAAGGTTGTGGGAAAATTCCTGCTGTGGAAAGAGGCTTCTGATATCTATCTGACCGCCTGCCCACTCCTGCAATGTCAGTGATTTGAGGCCATCTACTCTCACAGGACTTTGCGCGATCCAGTGGGAGTGTATATCAGATCGTATGCAACAGCTTTTAAAAAAGACAACAACAAAAAATAGAAAAATAGTAACTAATTTTAAAACAGACATTGTCCACAGGGGCTGAACACCCCTCAGAGGGAACTGGAGCTGAAGCAGTATTAGCCATAGTCAGAACTTAATCTTTTAAATATTACCAACTTACCTGCTTACCTTATCTATGAAGTTATTGGCACCACATTAAAGTCACTATGTTTATATATATATATGAGTTAAAAGGTGCAGCTCCCCGACAGCCAGTTAACTCATGACCGAGGTTACAACTCAAGGCCCAAAAAGGAGAACAAACGCATGTGTGTACATTTTCAGCTGAGAACTGCGGCTTACTTTGGCTAGCCTTCAACTGAACAATCACGATTTCAGTTAAATGCTAAAGTTGCTGTTAGTGGTACCTTGTCTGTGGTCCGCTGGCAGAACACCGGCTGCTTTTTGTTCAGGTGCCGTTGTGCTGTTGCCGAGGCGGCATAAATTTTGTTTTATGGTGGACAGACATAACATTACAGAGTTGTTGTTTTCTTTAGCTTGAAATAATCCCATACTTTGGACACTTTTTTCTTTGTCCCTCACTGTTTTCTCTCTCTTCCTCCACTTTGCAAACAGCGGCATCATAATCCCGTCGTGTTCACAGCATAAGCGCGATGTGCGACAGTAATAAATGTCCGTGTGAAACAGTGTGCTATATAGTTATATGGATTAAACGAACCCTTGATGCAAATTCTTTGCATCGATGCATTTTAGTAATCGATTTAATCAATGAATCATTTCAGCCCTAGTTACGGTTACGGTTAAGTTACTGTTGTCAAGCTCAATTAGTCCATCAATATTCAGGTGAGGGCTTTGATTCTACACACAGTGGCTTTAATATAAATGACCATCAGTAAACATTGATTTTGGATGTGTTACTGCTCTCCTACCCAACTATACACTCCGCTCCTCTGACTGTGCTCCTATTTTTACCCCAGGGCTTTGAAGCAGCAGCAAGGAAACAGGGGAAACACAAGCAGAGAGTTTGGTTGAAAGTTTCCTCTGGCGGCCTTAAAATTGTCGATGAAAGAACCGGAGTGAGTTACACTGGCTAAATCTGTCCCATCTCTTACCTCATTGTGTTTTTCTGTAGCTGTAGCGCCCCTCTCAGGTTGATGAAAAGTGTCTCTTGTGTGGAACCTCAACAACCATTGTGGTTTTCCAGCAGACAAAAAAACCTGCTTCCTGCTTGGATTTCTGCACAAACAGATAACGTTTGTTATATTTTTTCCCAAATTGGACAATTCCCAGGATTCTTATTTTACCGCACATATGGATCAGTGCCAATAAATTGTTCTCCAATGCTTTATTTTCTTGTTTCCTGACAATAGGGAGAGTCCAGTAATCCAGTTCAGCCCACCACAGATATATTGTAAATCCCATCTCAGTTAGAAGTCAAGATGTCTATTTTCTTCCCTGAATAACATAAGGGTGGCATTTAGTACATGTTTTCTTTCAATAATAATCTGTCAAACATTTTAAAAAGGTGGTAAATGAATGTGAATACTGCACTTTTTAGGAGATTTTGGTTCCACTTCTGTCTTTTGGTCCAAGTTCTGGTTCAAGTGCAGGTTGTAGTGATACGAAACATTATAAACAAATAAACAAATAGATGTTATGCTCCTGCAAACATATTCTTTAGGAGGACTTGGGTTCTAGTCCTTCTTTCATACATATCTGTTCGTTTCAATGCCAAAACTTATTATTAAATATTAATATAAAACCAGAAAAGCTAAAACCCAAACGCTCCACTATGAAAGATAGAGAAAGAGAAACAGACTAAGATATGATTATGATATCCCAATTTCCTTTTTGCAGTACTTGTAGTTTTCTGTTCCCTTGTTAATGTTTTTTATTGCTGAATTGTGGTGTAGTGGTTAGACATGTTGTAACATAACTAAAAGCCCAAATCCTCTTTATTTTCTGTTTTTTAGGCTGTACTTTATGACCATGACAGGATCAGGATCAGCTCTTTGATGAAAGATAAGTCTGACCCCAGAGCTCTGGCCTACGTCTACCAACACCAAGACACCTACAGCCTCTTCTACATCAAGATGGCCAACCTGGTAACAACACACACACAGTACTACATTGGAAACATACAGGATGCCTTGCCCATTCCAAGTCCAATCAGACATTCATTTGTTTTCATTCTAATGTTATTTTTTATTTCTTAAAACAGCTACACAGTACATAATTAGGCTGCAGCAATCCTACATTAAGATTAGGATCCTCAGGTCAGTGGATTTTACTGTAGGAAGTGCAGTGAACAACATACTGTGAATATGCTGATCACAGGGTACCTGTACACGCCAGTTTGTTTGTGGTCTGCAAGGAGAAATAACAATATGCAATATTTAACAGTGACATTCAGAGCTATGCAGCTTTTTACTGTAGTGTTTTAAAACACAGAAAGGCATTCTCATAATTAGCTGATGTTGGTGACGTTTTATCTGTGATCATCAGGCAGATCCGGTCCTGGTTGACATTGAGGATGTTCTTCAGGTTTTGGACCAGGAGACACCACAGGAACTTTCAGAGGCACTGACACAAGTCAGAGAAAATCTTTACAAGTGTTTAATAGTGGGAGTTTTGTGTTTAATTTTGTTTCCCCTTGTTTGTTTGTAGACCAATTCCTTACTGCTTCTACATGACAGTTCAGCCCGTCCAGCTGAGGTAAGTGAAACAATAAAAAGCTCTCTTCTATTCCTTTTGAAAATCTAAATCTTTTGCTGAGGTTTATCTCTCAACATCTGTTTATCTTTTTTTCCCCACATGATGGAGGTCACATGTTGAAACAAAACTCTTAAGTGTTTGTATGAACCGAATGTAACGTTATTTTGAGGGACCAGCTTTAGGGGATGTATTCCGTCCACAGACGTGAGTGTTTTAATCCACCATGTCTCACCATACCCATTAGGGTTTATGAACATTTTAACAAGCAATGCTTTGTCGAAGTCCAGAATGTTGATGATTTTAACAAAATTTCTTCTTTAAAGATAAGAAGATAAGTAGTTGACCTTTCTAACCTCTCAAAGAGGTTTATCACTTTTAAAGTGAGTTAATTAGCTGACCGCTCACCTCCAAAGATCATGATTGATGTGCATAAATGAGATGAGTTTATGCAGTATTTTTATTTTTAGATTTGTATTTGATTTATGTGATTTGTCATTCATATCTATAAACATTTGGCAGTCAGGTAGCATTTGTCTCCCCACTCTTGAAGTTTAAAAGTCTGCCACCTTACTGTTGGTTGAAATACAGGTGAGTGAGAAATTTAAATTATTTCTATTGTTATCAGATACATACTGACTGTGGTGTTTTCCTGTTTCTCTGTCAACAGGCCTTTTTCAGTAAAGATTTAATGGAAGTCTTTTCCATCCAGACGGAGGAGCCGCTGGCCCCCCAGAGCTCGTGTACCACTCAGCAAGGTTAGTTAAAACATAAGACCAGGAACTGATCTGACTGTTTTATGCCTCTTAGGCTGTGTCCGAAAATCATCAATCATTCACTACTCCCTGCTCTCTATCTGGGGAGCTCTATGTAAAGGACTATACAGGGAGCTCACCATTAAAATGAAAACAACACTTTTGGACACATCTTGGGTCATTCTCTCTGTGGCGTTAATAACATCACTGTCACACAATCAAAATATGCCAGATGAACGTTCACTGGTGGCCCCTTTTTCCCTATTTATGGCTTGGTTAGTGTCCATTGGTTGTGCATTACTTTTCACAATGCATTCTGTGATACTGAGTCAACTAATTAGGGTATTATAATTCTCACTGTACATTCAGACAGCACTATAAAATGGCAAACTAACTATATAGTGGATTATATAGTGAGTAGTGAGTGATTTTGGACACAGCATTAGTCTCTCTGAGGCTTTTTTGATGGATTACCCGTGACTCTAACCTTAACCATGTATGACCTTAATTATTTTATCTGTAGATAAAATTGGGGGCAGTACACAGCCTGGAGGTGTTACAATAAAAAGGAGGCCTAATTCAGGGAAATAAAATTTCTCTCCTTCTTTCTTGGTCTCCCGATTTTGCTTAATTCGATTCTGTTCTGTTTTTTCTTTACATAATAAACTCCCAGTGGTATACTTCACAGATGTTTATGAACACCCAACAAAGCACATTACACATAAAACTCAGCTGTTATTGGTGTTTTTTGGATTCAATTTACAATGTTTTTTTTAAATGTATTTTTTTTTAAAAACATGTATTGCCTATTTTTCCCTTTTTTTCCTTATAGAAACTTCTTTACTTGATTTGAATCAAACTAAACTTTAGTGTGATTCAATTCATATATAGCTTTTTTTAGAGTTTTGATTGGTTAATTTGGAGGCTTGTCTGAATTGTGATTAACATAGATGATGAAGGCACAAAATATGATGTTAGTAGAGTCATTCTTGCCATCAGATCAAAGGGAGGATTCATACAGAGATCTAGCTAAGAGTTTTCAATTTGTTATCCTGTCATGCAAATAAATATTATTAAAAACATCAGGCTGTTCTGTCATAAAACTTCATCAACTTTGAACACTTCCCTCCTCTATATTTCAAGAGGCCTGTTGTCACAGTTGGTATGTCCCTTGACAGATTCAGACCACCAACACCTCTACAGTGTGTCAACAAAAGTTACACTGTGGTGTAGAAACTGTGGTTGAATTTATGCAAGATGATGGAAGTGCTGTGGAGCCTCCACAAAAACTCCTTTCATATCTTTATTGAACAATATATCAGTCTGCAGCAAATTAAGCACCACATCTAACAATAATAAACTTTACTACTCATCATGAGAGAAATTCGAAAGGTCAGGCAGCAATCTGGAGACATACACTGACCTCTGACCTTTGAACTGGAGGTGAAAGAGAAATGCACACTGTCTCTTAATGTACACAACATTTTCCCATGATCCCCGTGTTCATGGCGTGTAATATATTCTCTGGTAAGGGTAAGGAATGACATAATTCCTACGGTGCAGCTGTCATATTTTAATATTAATTAGAGTGAGACAGAGAAATGTGCCGTGTTTTCTGTGTATCAATGTGGAACAAATGATCGCATATTTACTCTTTGAACACATGCTTAATTCCCACACTAAAAGATTCAGTTTCTTTGACCTCCTCCTCTGTTTCTGCTTGTTTGTAGCAGGAAAGTGATAAAATCACAAATATTTTTATTGAAGCTTGTCACCAGAGTGAGTGTGTGAGTTCTAGGCAGCAGTGTTACATTTATATAGTGCAGCAAAAGTTTAATGTGGCTGTGGTGTAATGTACACCTTCAACATCAAAGGTGTAGGTTTACATCCTGTCTCTTTTTGTTGGTCCTTTTATTATTGCTGAACAACTACAATGACCTTTGCCTGATCCTAACCAAGTGTTATCACTTACCTAAAAGAACCACACATTGACCAAGCTATAGCTGGGATGCATAAATATTGTGAAAATATATAATAATAATATTTTTATTTATAGAGCATTTCTAAAAACATGTTACAAAGTGCTTTCAAAAGAAGACAATAAACATAGACATAAAACAGATAAAACAAGAAACAAGATAAAACCAAGAAAAACACTAGTTACTTAAAATTTTAAAATACAGTTTAAAAGAAAATAAAGTCAGCTAAAATCAGGAAATGCTCTAGTAAAAAAGAATGTGTTATAAAGGAAGTTAAAATAGTTCACTCACTCAGCCGACCTGATTTTCTCAGGCAGGCTGTTCCAGAGCCTCGGGGCTCTGACTGCAAGGGCTTGACCCCTTTAGTTTAAGGTTGGGCCTCTGGAGACAGCAGACCTCTGCTCCAGGATCTCAAGGTATGTGCCAGTTCGTATGGGACTAAAAGGTTAGAGATACAACAGGGAGAGAGGCCATGAGGAGCCAGTCAGTAAAATTTTAAAGTCTGGGAGCCAGTGTTGGGTTGATGTGATCACATTCCTTGGTTCTCGTTAAAAGCCTGGCAGCTGAGTTCTGTACAGTCTGGAGTTGATCAATAGATTGGGTCAAGCAAGCAAAGCAATAATATAAACCTTTAATATTTCAAAAACTTACAGAAATCCAAGGATGGCAACTAATGATTCATTTTCGTGTACCCCGCCTTTCGCCCGATGTCAGCTGGGATTGGCTCCAGCCCCCCACGACTCTGTACGCAGCACAAGCGGTTGACGATGGATGTGTGGCAAAATATCATAAAATTGTGAAACAGCACTTATGTGAATGAAATATGTCAATCACAATGTCCCAGAGTCCAAGGTGACTCTTTTAAATAGTTTATATTCTGACCAACAGTCCAAAACCCAAAGATTTGAATCAGAGAATCTGAGAAAGTGTTTGGGATTTCTGTTCGACAACTAAATTGGCAGAAATAGACTTTTACACACTTAATAATATGCTTTTCTTGCTGAAAGTTTAAAGGTATCAAGAGATCAAAAAAGATCAATACCACTCTTATATCTGTTCACTAAAAGCTAGAGCTTGATTAGCTTAGCTTAGCACACAATCTAGCCTGGCTCTGTCTTAAAGTAAAATATTCTGCATCTCTAATGTTCAATAATTAAAAGACTGTATGTTTAATCCTTACATAAACTGAAAATGTAAAAGCGACAAGCTGCAGTTTCACAGGTCAGAAGCTGGAATTTTGTCACGACTCAAGCAGAGACTCCAGAAAGTACTCCAGTAATTTTCTGATTGACTAAAATTAATAAACAATAAATCAACTAACTTCTTTTAAGCACATCAATCACTTCAATGTCACAGTTCTGTTTGACAAGTGGGTTGTACAAATATATTGTATAGCTGACAGGTCTTGGGTTCAGGTATTTGAACAAACATCATGTAATTGTACAACCAGAGCAGCTTTAAAGTCCCATTGCATTTATCTTCTTCCCTCTCAGAGTCTCCACAGCCATCGCTCTCCACCTCTCAGATCCTCTCCATGTTCCCTATACAGCCAGTAGGGGGCTCTCCATACTCCTCTCCCCCATACTCTCCCACCACCATGCCATGGAGCCAGCAGGTGCTTCTGGGAAATCAATGGGCTGGTCCAGCTGTGGCGCCTTGGCCTACAATGCCTGGCCATATGGTGGCAGCGTGGGCACCAGCAGGCATGGCGGCGCCCACTGCAGGCAGCCAGATTCTGGCTCACTGCTCTCAGCCAGGAGCCATGATAACTCCACCCACCACTGCCAACAGATACCCCACCACTTTAAACTCTTCCCATGCCCCGACTGGAGCAGCAGGATCACTGCAGTCAGTTTCCCCCACCTTGGACCATAATCCTTTCCTGTCATGAAGTGGTTAGAATGGGAAAGGTGAAAACATTTAATTTCAAATGTGTGTTTATATTTGCTTGAATCTTGAAGTTGACCTTTTCTTTTATTCACATATATAATGAATATTTGTGCTGCTATTCAACAAAACCTGAATATTAAAACAATCAAACATGTCAGTCACAGTTACAGTATAAAGTGTGCAGGACATTTATCTTGTATTTAAGCTGGAAAATACAAAAAACAATTTGACCTGATACAAAACAAAAAACAGAATTGCTCTTTCCCGTAAAAACAACTGATAGCTAAAATTGCAAAATAATGTTGATATAGATGTCAGCAATTGATACTAATCATGGTTTATTCCTCCTGCTCATGTATGTTCAGTTTTTCAGTTTTATCTGATTACTTTGCCTTTCTTTGTTTGGTTCTACGTGCTATTTTGATTTTTCTATATGAAATGAATCACAATTTGAAAATTACTTTTTTCATAAGGTTTGCTCATATACTGCACATGCAGAATTAAATACAGAACAGACAGGGAAGCCCATTTAACTAAACTTTCCATTGTCTTCCTTCAGACTACAGTACGCGACTTCATCTTGTGGTTTTTAACTAATATCATGTCATTCATACTTTTTAGTTCATTCATACTTAGTAGTTCTACTTTTTTAAGTAGAAGAGAGAACTGTCCTCACACTGCCCCAAATACATATTACAAGGATTTTTTCAAACACATAATGGAAAACGTGACCTTTTAAGAAGAAATGAAACAAACTGTCTAGTAACATGTCAATGTTTCTCTACTGTTAATCCCATGTTGTGGCATTGTCTGTCTGTCACTCTGTGGCTCACGCTGACTTACAGAGCATTTCCTCATTTGCAGTAAGTTTAGAGACACAGGTCATGTAGCTGTCTGTACTGTAGCATCAGCTTGGATACTGATTCACTGCTGGAAATGGAGTACTTTATCCATCACTAACAATCTCTATACCATCACTCAACGCAAATATGGTAAGAAATTGTTATTTACAATGTTATTTAGAAAGTTTTATTTAAAATATGAATCAGTGGAGTGATTAGCAACTCCTCCACAGCACCTTTCACACTTCTTTTCATGTGTTGCCTGTTTTAATTCTGGCCATTTCCTCTTGATCATAAAGGAGTCTATGAATAGCCTGACAGTTGTAGAAACACCTTTTGAGAGATTTTATTGTTTTACTATGGTTAAACCTCAGTTTCCTTCACTCATTTATGTAAGTACTTATTGAATAACCTTCAAAACTTTTAACCTGATGGCAAATGTTCTAATGTTATGCAACAGCATCCACATCCTCTGGTAAAATGTCGATATATTCAGCTAAAGTTTGTTACAGTAGCCTAATTACATCATATTTATAATAAAAGGGAAGTTGGATTTTTTTTAAAGAAATGTTCATGGTGTTACTGATGAAAGAAAGCGTTATTACACATTGCTATCAGCAGTTAATGATTCACAGTGTGCTCAGTAACACTTTGCTTCCACTTTTCAATCTTCCCATCCAAGCTATTTCTGTTGACTCACAAACGAAACTGTATTTCAATACTTTGTAGAAAAAGATCAATGATGGTTCATATTTAGTCTTTAAATTGTAAAGGATCATGTACTACCTACACGTTTTTCTCCAAATTAAGGGCACAAAGACTTTAGATCATCATGACTCCAAAGCTTCACTGAAACCACACAAATGTTTGTAATTTTGTCAGCCCTTACACACGCAAATTAATTAATCAACGACGTCAAAGGTCTGTTATCTGGAGCAGACACTGGCTGGTACGTTATGTGATAAAAGACCAGTTCAGTACTAGCAATTAAAATATATTTGCATAGTACCTTTCATACAGGTTAGTGGATTTCAAAATGTGTTACCGATAAAGCTGATAAAAAGATAAAAGTTAAAATGTTTTACTGACTACTGTGTACTGTGTAGTCTTACAGATTAACAGAAGAAATCAATATAATCCATCCAAATGACAGAAAATGCTTGCTTTCACACATCAGAAAATAAACAAACTCAGATGATTTTGAGTCATTAAATCACATTTTATTTGACAGTTTTTATTTCATCCCCTTAGTTGTAAATGTCTCAGCACCACACCTGCACAGCTACACTACCGTTTGGCGAGACCTTTTTTAAAACATCTGTGATAGTGTGTCAGTGCCAAAGGTGGCAACATATACACACACGTGTAGATGCACACACACACACACACACACACAAACCCTGTGTTACTGCTGCAGGAGCTTGCTAACTGAAAGTGGAATCCCGTGTGTGTGACTCTTTTGTGGTGTAGAGAAGGGGTATTTGTCTGTTTCCTCTGTTCCTTGTAATAAGAGAGACGACTGCGAGCAGGGCTTGCAGCTTATTGGTGCAGGAGTTACAGCAGAGGGGGTTTCTATAGTAACAACCCGCAGGATGCTGGCTGAGGTACAGACACGTGTGGTTGTGAGCACTTCCTGCTCTTCTTCACACCCTCACAACTTTAGGTGTTCAAACAATAGATGATGTGATTCTTTTATTAGCATCCCGTTTTCATGTTTTGTCCACATAACAGGGTACAAGACGTATTCATTCACAGCAGAATTTGCTTTTATTTCCACCATGTTTCCCTCCTTGCTGATCATATTTGTCAGTTACCTAACCATTGAAACAGTTTTCTGACTCCACCTCTTGAAGTCACACTCAACCAATGATATCATTTTTGCTCCGAGCATTTCCCTCTTTTATTTTGATTCATTTGTCTATAGGTTAGAATAGCAACATCCAAACCCCAAATAAGTTACGCAGACGCCACAAAATAGGGAACTTCATTCCTTGCAAGAACACTGAGACATATGTCGACACAAATGATGGGAAATTTTCTTTCAGTTTGGACTTGATCTCAATGAACATGTTTTCAAAAACACTCATAGGGAACAAATTTACACTCTGTGGCCACTATTAGGTACACCTATGCAATTTAATACAATCCAATACAAAAGATTTGATTTGAATACGTCTGCAACAAAGCTGAACATTATCATCTCTGTATGGGTATAATTTATGATTGTACTGCTGGTTTGGATTGCCTTAGAAGTTATAGGTGTACCTAATAAAGTGGCCACTGAGTTGAGTGTGTTGAGTTTTGTAAAAAGAAAATGACAGCAGAGTTCAACTTAGCATCACTGTGGTAAAGATGAGCGTGAGGAACCAGACAGGAAATGACTTCTGATCCTCCAGTTTAACGCGAATAAAGATATTGACATATGTGGCTGATCAAGAGCCGAAAGCAGAGGTGCCATGATGCAAATACAAGTTAATGCCACTAAAAAGTAAGTGAGTAAACTTGATTTCACTAGTGCCTTTCAAAACCAGTTACAAGGGGCATTTACAGGTTCACAGAAAATATTCCAGAAAGTGGCCAAACATAGAACAAAACAAAAGTATAAACATAAACCATTGTAGCAAAAATGATGTATCGAAGACATCCAACCTTGCTCTGAACTTCCTTCTATAAAGATGCTTACCTGCAAGTCATGTGGTGCATGTTACTGTCCTTGGGACCCTAAATGATCAACATACAAAATATGCAACAGAGACAACCTCTACATACATAGAAACCCCCTGTTGCCATAACTATCCCTAAAAATCCATCCATCCATCCATCCATCTGGAGCCAGTCCCTGCTGACTTCGGGCGAAAGGCGGGGTACACCCTGGACAGGTCGCCAGTCCATCGCAGGGCCCTAAAAAATATGTCATAAAATCTCATCAAAGTCAAGAACCCCCAAAGCACTGGTGCAGCAGTGTACTGTACTATTTGTTAAACTCTATTATATGCAGTTTAAACAAGTGTCCACCTGAATACATAGAGCCTTAATAGGAATTATTTTCATTAAAGTGACTTTATAGAGTGAATAATAATGAACAGAAATACGATTTGAATGTATCATTAGTGATAATGTATGCAACAATCTGAGAGGATTTTTAATCACTCATCGCTGCCTTCCATGTCTTTCTGTTTAGACCGCACTTGTAAAAGTTTTGTCTGCTGCACAGAGGTGGAGGAGACTTATCAGCTCTGTAAAGATCAAAACGACCAGGAAACTGTGTTGTTGCACAGTGCAGTCTCTTTGTAAAGAGTGCGTAGGGGTTTGACAAGCGGTGTGTGTTTGTGTGCGTGGGGGGCATGCCTTGCTGTGCTGCTAACTTCCTGCTTTAGAAACAGAGTTGCTGCAGTGGATTTTGTGCTCCTGTGTTGTTGTCAGGGGGAGAGCATTGATGTCAAGGCTCTGAGGGCCAGGTTCAACAACCAGGCCAGCACCTCGGACACCAGCAGCCGGGAAAGCAGCTCCCCTAAATCTCCACGGCCTGGGTTTGGGAGGGCAATCTTGCCTGTGACTGAGAACGATCTGGCCCATCACAGACTGTCTCCTACAGTTCTTCCTCCTCTGGTGGCTGGCCAGGGCCTCGTGAGGTTCCCGAGGGCAGAACCAATGGCAACCTCCATCCCCTCCAGACCATTCCCGCGACCGCCTCCAAGTGCCGCAGTCAGAGCATCCATCCAGCCGACAGAGGCCAAAACGGTCAAGCAGACAGGGGAGATGCTACAGAACATGATGCTGAGGCACCAGAGGCCTCCAGGAACCAAACCAGCCCTGATGCCTGCTCTAGCTTCAGCTCCAACTCCAGCTCCTGCCCCTGCTCCCACCTCTACCCCTCTACCGCTCCGACAGCAGCCCCGACAGAGGAGCACAGGTGAAGTGACCCCGCTGAGAAAGCCCCTGCCCCCTGAAGGACCCCTACCTTTGAAACCCAAACGGCCTCCCAATGTCAACCTGGAGCCTTTTCTGAGGTTTCGAGGACCTGCCCTTCCTGGCCCGAGAAAGCTTGATGGTGAGTCTCTCAGGCGTATTTAGTCACTAATTTGTAATTACATTGGACTCAACAAATAAATAAATAGACCCTCCCTGTCTTAATATTTGTACAAGGCTGGCTCATTTGGAAAAGCATAAAGTCAAGGTTTCCTTCTGTAAAAATAGTTAACCTGGCAAAATCATGAAAGTGGCTGCTGGATTAGTCAGTATAGCATGAGGACACAACAGTTTATTTCCTGCCCTGCTGTCATTTTATCTTTTTTGCAAAGGACATTTTTACAAGGTACAGGTGTTACTTCTATATTAATGAGGGCTGAATTCCATTTAGCTGCCGAAGTTTTAGGGTCCCGAAGTTGTGCATGTTGGCATGGCTTACTGGGACCCTTGAACATAATGAAACCATCGTTATTGTTATTAGTGACAGCTGTGCTTTTCGTGGTACAGCATGACGAGACAAAATGTCTGCTGTGAAAAAGGCTATTACGTGAGGCATTGTACATTTCTATATGATCATTGAAAACAAATATTTATCTTATGAACAACAGAGATCAGTAACACCTAGGGCAGTTTTTACCATTTGCTTGTAATATTTTTTATCTTAGAAATGAAACTTTTGATGGAAAATTGAATTATTTAATTGATACATTCTGAAATCCAAACATTGCTGACGGATCACCAAACACCAGAAGAAGTGTCTTCTATGAAACTTAATTTTTTAACAAATGTAGTAAATGTTTAAAAAGCAGTCTTTAAAACAAACAATGTTTGGGACTGTTCTTT